CTTAGTGCACAAATTTGTGCACATTGAAAGGAAATTAATAAGAAGGATTATTTTATATTGCTACTCACCCTTTCTCTATAATAAAAGTGTCAACCAAATTCATAATTGACAATGGCAGATGGAAACACACATGTGTGATTGGCACCAGCAAGAGCTTTATATATATAGATAAACTTGCTTAATTAGACCTGCTTTCTGATTTAGCTAAACTTTTTCCAGCCCAATGAAACACCCCAACTTCTCTTTCAGGTAATTGTCAGAAACAGCAGTAAATATCAACATGAAGCAAATTATTATTGTAGATCATGCAGGGAGAACAAAGGGTAAAATGTTTAACTGCAGCAGTGTTTGACTATATTCTACGCAGTGAGAAAAACAGAAGTCATTTTCAAATTCCACTATTTATTACTTCTTTTCAGTCAGGTCCAGTTTCCAAACTTTCTAAGTCTCTGTTTTCTGGCTAATGAAAATAAAATAGGATTCTACTGAGTCTCCTATCTACCTACTCCAGAACTTCTGTGAGGATCAAATGAGATGAGGCATGTGAAAACCCTTCACAGACATTTGGTTAAACTGTAAAATGTTTGCACCTTGCTAAAAGCAAGTTGTGTTCCTAGGCAGAAGAAACTCCAAGGATGCTAGGTGCTAGGGAGAGGAACCCGGGCATTACTATGTGAAGTTATGACTGGGAGCCCACAGCCACCGTTTCTGGGTTGGGTTGGGCTCTGGGTCGAATTTCGTGCCATGGGGTCTTGGCAACATTGGCTGCGATTCAATGGGCTGTGGCTCCAAGGTTGTGGCAGGGTCTGTATCCCACTTGCGGGGAGCCGAGTGGTGCTTTGTTAGTATCAGGTCAGAAGTGCCATTTATTTGTAAATGGCCAGAATGTGTCAAGGCAGCTCCTGCATTGAGCGTCAACCCCCTGGTGGTCAGTGTGCCTCATAGTGATGGGTTGAACAGTTGGAGGGGCACTTAGCATATTAGCCTTTTATATACAGATTAGAGAGTTATCACACACATTGTATATTTCTACCGAGAGATTTTATAACATCTCTGCTAAGAATTTTAGAAATATATAGCAAGAAAGTTAAACAAAATTATTTTGTTTACCCAGTATTTTTCTTTTTAGGGATCTATTATGTTAAATGAATCAGAGTCACAGAAAAATGTATAGATAAAGATCACTGCACCATTATTCATAATAAAATTTGAAAAATCAAAATTTCAACTATTTATGTAATTATAGGACATTCACATGGATAGCAGGTATCCATTAAAAGGATATTTTTTGAGAATATATTTTTTCTAAATATTACAGAGAGGAAGGGAGAGAGATAATTAGAAACATCTATGAGAGAAAGTCATCGATCAGCTGCCTCCTGCACACACCCCACTGGGGATGTGCCCGTAACCAAGGTACATGCCCCTGACCGGAATTGAACCCGGGACCCCTCAGTCTGCAGGCTGAAGCTCCATCCACTGAGCCAAACTGGTTTTGGCTTTCTGAGAATATTTAATAGGAGTGAAATGTTTATACAATGTAAAGTAAAAGAAACAAGATTATTTTCTCTTTTTCCCAAAAATTTCTACTATTAACCGTTATAATTATTTTTAAAGCAAAAAACAAAATTTAAATAATGATATCCATATCTCGATAAGTAATAATAATTTTAAATAATATGTTTCACTAGGTCAAGGGTGAAATGGATTTCTACTCTCTGAAAGTCTGATAATGATGAATAAAACACCCTCTATTCTGGAAGGTTCTGAAAATGGGCTCCTGACCATAGCAAGAAGGACACATTTCTGATTGACATTCTCAGGGCTTACACTCAGCAAGGCAATGGTATCTGTCTTATGATTCCCTTAAGGTACAGATGCCTGAAAGGACTAAATCAAGATAATCTCCTGGACTGAACTTCAGAATTGTGCAGTGTGATTTCTGGGCCTTTTGCCCAAGAAAGTGCTGTCCATATATTTGCTGATGCCTGAACATTATTTAAAAATAAAAAATTCTTTTTTTTTTCTCATTAGAACACACAGTTGCCACTTAGAAATACTATTCTGTGACCACAGGTTGATTGATATTCAAACCCACCTTTTTGTGTATTTTATATGAACTTAGTTACTATTTTGTTTTTTTCCCTAAGTAGTTTGATTTTTGTGTCTTTTGGAAAAGTTTAAATGACCACCGTCTTTTGAGAAGGTGAAGGAATTGCAAGAAAAGGAGGACACACGGGATGGAGAAAGAGTAAGTATGGTCAGCAAATGGCAGAGAAAGGAGAATTTGGAAGTGAAGACAAATCCATGCATTTCATGATTTTTCAATCACTATTAATGAGTTTTATTTATTTTCAGAGAAACTGTAGAACTGCTAGATTTGCAATTGCCAAGGTCAAGTGGATGTGTGTTAAGTTAGCCAGGATGCTCAAGTTTGGTCAACAGCCATGTACTAACTGAACTTGTGTAAGTTCTGATGATTGTTCTTATAATTCGTATGGTAGTTGTTGCTGTTGTTTATCTTCTGAAGTCAAGATTGACTCAGTTTAGGGCAAGTCTGAGTCAGACTCCTTAGTACTTGGCCAATAAACTTCATTTGGAGATTTTCACCTTCTCATAACCCCTTACAGGTTCCCTATCACTGATCCTGGCTACCATCTTTACTTCCACCCCATGATTCTTCACTGACTCTCCTTTCTTATGATATGACATTTTGAGCCTGTTGAAATATATATCTTTTATAAGTCTGCAAAGGGCAAACATTAATTATCCAAGGAGGGGAAATATCAAAGTACTTATGGTAGAAAACAAATATATTTTAGGAATCTTGACTCTGTTCTGTCCTTAATATTATTTCTTAGTTTCACTTATTCTTTGTGATCATATGTTTACCTATCCCAATACTATTGCAGTAACATTATAAAGGAATTATTTCAAATCAACTGTTACTCAAAAATCCAATGATTAAGGTTATTTTATTCTAGGCACTGAGAACTAGAATCAGAAAATAAAACAAAACGAAAGTTGTATGTAGAATCCAAATTCCAGGTTCATATCTCAAGTTTAATTGCTATTTAAAGAGAAGTTATGTTCCTTGAAGCAGTAACAATATAAAGGAATTAGAGTATTTCCTGGAGCATTTTGATGACAGCCATTCTCATGTTTCTTCAAATGAATATAGTTAACCCTTCACATTTGCATAATAATTTTCATATTTTAAAATTTATTTGATTAGTTATTGTGCAAGAAAAACTAATTTTTAAAAGGAAAGGTTTACAAATTATTTCATCTTGTAAAACATTTTAGTGGGAAGAAGAGAATAATATGATTTATTCCAATTTCAGAGAAAAATGTAAGAAATCCCAATGGGCAGCCATCAATCATGAAATTATTTTAATTATATTGTCAAATAAATAGATACAATTAATTTCATTTTCACTATGTCCATTACTGACAACTGGTACCATAAACAACTCATTTTGGGCCCAATATTTTATAATTTTGCATTAATACTTAGAAGTACATCTTCCTAGGAGTTACATAAGGGTCTGCATGAGCATGGCCACTTATGATAATTTATATGTAAACATGTTTTTAGAACGAAACAATCAAATCTAATACTAGTATACCGCAATATACCATAGCATGAGTAAAGAGTGTGATACAATTTTAAACTATTTGTTTGTTTCATATCTAGTACCACTTTAATGCTGCTGGTAATCTTCTATTTCAAAATAAAGATAATTATAATATACTTGCATATATATGACATTAATTCAAAGGTTTGATTTTACCATCAAAGAAGCATGTTAATACCATGACTTGTATAAATCCCACACATCTTCTTTCCTCAAGATTAGTAAATATGTGGATTTCCAATGTTAGAAATCCAATGACTAAAATAATTGTACAAGTTCTAAAACCATCATCATATCTTTTTGCACTATTACTTTGGATATGCTATTGGTAAAGATTATTATATCTGTAATCTTCATTTTGAAGATGATTTACAATTTAATACAAATTCTAACTCCAAGAACAAAAATAACATTGGTAAATTTCAGAGATGGGCTACCAATTCCTTTTTAGTTGCATACAATAAATGGGTTTCTACTCTCAATGGCTAATGTAAGAAAAAATTCCTTAATAAACAAGAATGTATGGTTAAATTCACACTATTACCAATCCTTTATATCAAACCACTAAAAGATAATAATTTTATTTTAATGTTGATTATATAGGCATGCATGCAATATTTCAAATATAAATACAAACTAAAATAATATCATTAAATGTGCTATGCATATTTATAATTAAGATGGGAAAGTTTTCAAAATTCGGTATAACTGACTATAGTTCAACCAGATTCAGAAATTCTAGACAAAACTCTAAAGTAATTATGTTAGTATTCTGATTTATAGACAATTTGATATATTTATCAAATCATAAACTGTCAATGTTCTTAGGTCATGTCCCAAGCCTATTTGTCCTTTAACCAAAAGCCACTTGCTCATATTTTATTAATATATTATCCATAACTTAACTAGCATAATGTCCATTATATTTGGTTAACTAAACATTATTTTAACTCTAAGAGTAACATTGATTTTTACAAATCTATACCTTTCCCCTTAATTTTCAAAAACTGTATTTTAGTGTAATAATAGGTAAGTCAAATAGTTGCATATTGCCTGCTTTAAAAGCAATTCAAGCTTTATAAAGTGACAATATAACACCATCAGTAAAACCTTCAGCCCATCTCATTTCCCAATTGCCATGTAAATGACACATGAGATTTTACATTCATATATACAGCTTGGTCTTAATAGATGTGCTATAGAAGGTGAAATGGTCTATGTTTGCTGGTATTTTCTAATTTGGCTCCCTTTACATATACATGGGATTAGCTCAGAGTGTTAAATCAGTTTACAATATAGGCTTAATAGACTGTCAGGATGTATTGAGAAAAGTGTAATAATTGGAATTAAGGAATTACTCACCCAGCTGAGCCTCCTGAATGGTCAGTTTACTTTCCATAGGATACAAAAGCTTGGGTGGCTTATCAGTCAGAGGAGCTGAAAAACAACAATAATAAAATGACTATAGTTATGCTATATGAACTGAAGAAAGGAACACAGTTTATTTTCTTAAATAATTTTCATTATCAGAATAGTGTCAAAGCATTCTACCACATAATGACTTACATATTGCAGGCAGTGCCTTTGAATTAAAGAGCTATTAGATTGTATATGAGTCAAATATAACATTTCCAAATCGACAATCACATAAGACTACTAGTATTTAAGTACTGCATCATGATTGGTCAGACTTTAAGAACATATGACTATTTTACCAAATCTTTTCAATTTGCATGCCGCCCCACACACACACTTTTTTTAAAATTTAAAATTTTTTATTTTTTTAAATATATTTTATTGATTTTTCACAGAGAGGAAGAGAGAGGGATAGAGAGTTAGAAACATCGATGAGAGAGAATCATCGACCAGCTGTCTCTTGCACACCCACTACTGGGGATGTGCCCGCAACCAAGGTACATGCCCTTGACCAGAATCGAACCCAGGACCTTTCAGTCCACAGGCCGACGCTCTATCCACTGACCCAAACCGGTCCCGGCTAAAGCATATTTTACATTTACTCTGTTAATTAAAGATATATATCAGACATTTCAATGATTTTTTTTCACATAAAGTTGCCTCATTATTCTTACTCAAAATGCTTAGTTTTCATACCCTGGATCACACTGCCTCAAACACATAATTTAGTCATTAGATTTAGTATTATAAATAGGGTAGCAATGTAGGATTAAATTAGTACTAGTACAAGCTGCATAATCAAGCATGCATACAGGTAATTCTCCAATATCATACTTTTAAAAGATACTTCCCATTTAGTCAAAATCCCTTACTACCATGATCTATTACATTTTATAGTATTTATTAATAATTTGTATGAAATATTCTCTTTGAATTTTAAGTTTCTATACATTTATACTATGTGATCATAAATTCATAAATTATCAGCCTACAGATTTAATAGTTTACTATTGAGCTTCTTGAAGACAGGTTTCCCAATGAATACTGCATTCCCAGCTAGATTAAACTATCTGAACTTTAGATAAATAGCCAGTTCTTCTTCACTAAGCCTCCCTTCCCACGCTAGAAGATTGAATTGCCCAGGTCCCTTGAAACCTGTCATTGCAACTTCCAACTTTAGCAAGTACAAAAATGATCAATTTAGGAATGCTGAGCTAAATGTTTCTATTTTGAGAGTTTATACCTTCCTTGCCAGGACATGCCAGTTTGGTTGATAACTGGAAGGCTGATCTAGCAGTGCCAGAAGTTGGCCACATGTCCTCATTATCAGAGGATTCAATAATTCAATGTACTTCAGCAACTTACCCTCATTTCTCTTTAATAGAATAAAGACAGGGTGAGTTTTAAGAGTCCCTGTTTGGGAGACCAACCATACATAGGATCAACTGCCATTTTTAATAAATAATTGAATGCATTATTCATTCATTTTTTGAACACATTCATTCAAAAATATAAAATGCTCATGTGGCTTCTCCACCCCAACCCACCCCCCATGCACATGACATAATGTTGCATCCTTAAGACCCTTCATACTATTCTCATGCAGCAACTCCAAGTAGCATAGAAATTGTAGAATGTTGGAGACAGATAAAATTATATACTTATTAAGTTGTTTATTTTAAAACTAGAGGCCCAGTGTATAAAATTTGTGAACTCAGGGGGAGGGGGATTCCTCAGCCCAGCCTGTGCCCTCTTGCAGTCTGGGAGTCCTTAGTGAATGTCCAAATGATGGCTTCAGCCTGCTCCCTGTGAGCCTGGCTTCTGGCTGAGCCTGGCTCTGGCTCTGGCTCCTGTGGGAGCACACTGACTACCAGGGAGCAGCTCCTGAATTGAGCATCTGCCCCCTGGTGGTCAGTGTATGTCATAGTGACTGGTCAACTGGTCAACTATCTGCCCTCTGGTGGTCAGTGCACATCATAATGAGTGGTTGAGCAGCCTTAGCATATCATTAGCATGTTACGCTTTGATTGGTTGAACAGATGATTGGATGACTGGACACTTAGCATATTAGGCTTTTATAATATAGGATGTGTTCCCTAAGCCCTGATTTCCACAGTGACACTCTGGACAGATGGAGTAAAGATAGAGATAAGTGGTGTTAAATGGGTCTTACCTCCATACCTTGTCTTATTACCCACCCCTCTCTGACAAAAGTACTTTTGCCTTTGTTGTACATCAATATTTCACCCAAGATTTTAATCAAATGAATTTATTCTTATATCTATGGATGCATTAATAAAAAAATGTGAGATATATATATATATATATATATATATATATATATATATATAAACACATATATATCTATACACACACACACACACACACACACACACACACACACACACACATATATATATATATATATATATATATATATATATATGAAATGGAACAACACTTTTATATATAAAAGCCTAAAAAACCAGCCAACCAATTGACCAGCTGGTAGTTATGAAATGCACTGACCACCATGGGACAGATGCTCAACACAGGAGCAGAAAACCACAGGTATGGAACCATGGAACAGACTGATGAATCTCTGACATCCCCTGAGGGGTCCTGGACTGCGAGAGTGTGTAGACCAGGCTGAGGGACCTCACCAGTGCATGAATCTGAGTACTGGGCCTCTAGTAAAAAAAAAAAAATCCTGAAAATTGTGACAATATGGATAAACCTCAAAGATATTATGCTAAGTGAAATAATTCAGACAGAGAAAGAAAAAGATCACATGATTTCATTAATATGTGGAGTTTGTAAAAAATCAAAACAAATGAACAAAAAAAGAGACTCTAAACAAAGCAACTTTTGGTTGCCAGAGAGGAGGAGGGTGGAGATATGGGTGAAGAGGAGAAGGGAAATATAGCCAATGATATTGTGATAACTTCGCATGGTGACAGATGGTTTTTAAACTTATGTGGTGATCACATCATAAGATATATAAATATCAAACCACTATGTTGTAACCAATGTCATCTCAATAAATTTAAGAATATATATATATATATATATATATATATATATATATATATATATATATGCCACTATGTTGTACTGCTGAACCTAATATAATATAGTATGCCAATTATACTTTAATAAAAAATTAAAAAGATCAATTCAACTGATGTATATTGAACACTATAGTGTGCTAGGCATTGTGATGGGGGTTTGAATAGCTTGGTTTCTGCCCTTATGCCCGATTTAAAGTGATCAAAGTTAATAATAATACTAAAAAAAAGTAAAAGATGCTGTACATATTAAACTCCCATGTTTTAAAGATGAAGAATTTGAGGTGCAACTAGAACAACTGGCTGGTCAAAGGTAACAGCAAATTCAAGCTAGAGGGCTGGCTAGATCTTTGTTACCTACTCCTTGAAAATTCTTTCAAGTAACTACCATAGCACTTAGCAATCTGTTAGGGGAGCAAAAACATTTAACTAAGTAACCATAACCTATATAAGAGTACACTTACTGTGCAATATATCATCTACAAATGTCACGTTTTGATATGCTATAATGGGGATCAGTTAGGTATGTGTCTTGTATGATTCACCTGTGCTTGATAAAAGTGAAAGGAAACTCACAGCATGACAGCTGAATTACAGATCTGACATACTCGCAAAATGACTGTGAAAAGCAGTGACCATTGAAGCTAAGATGTAGCTCAGTTCTATAGTCAACTGAGGATGAGAAATTTTGCTGCCACAAAGCAAAGAGCATGTGCTGAATTATCCATTATTTTAGTGCTACTGACACTTTATGGTGTTTAATAAATATGAGTTGAATCAAATTTATAGGCAACAACTGGAAAACAAATACAAAAATGGTAATGATCAAACAACGTCAACACATACACACACACACACACACACACACACACACACACACACAAACACAAAGCCCTCTTTATTTTCTTCACTAAAGGCCCAGTGCACAAAATCTGTGCACTGCAGTGGGGGGAGGGGGCTGTCCCTCAGCCCGGCCTGTGACCTCTCACAGTCTGGAACCCCTTGGGGGATGTCTGCCTTCCAGGGCTCCCCCAGTTCAATCAAAAACTGGGTTCTCTGATCCTTAGCGCTGGCCCCACCTCCTGGTGGAGGAGGGATAATCGGGGACCTGGCCAGACAGGAAAGGGACCTTGGGAGGTTGAAGTGCCATGGTTGTGCCCTATCCCACCTCTATGGAGGCAACGGGATTGTACAGCCCCCTCTCCTGTCGCCTCTTCGGCTGCCTCTATGAAAGCACAGAACCAGGGCCAGGACTACACAGCCCCCTCTCCCACTGCCTCTGCAGAAGGGGGTGTGTTGGGACCACCATGGCTGGTCTGGCAGTGCAGGCTTGCTGGCCCCACCCACTGCCCACTGTTCATTCCAGAAAGTCATTCCAGAAGGTCATATTGTAGTCTGGTCTAATTAGCATATTAACTCTTTATTACATAGGACTGGCAAAAGTGGGTCTGGAAGGAAATTCCAGCAAATGACTTACAGTAAAAATAATAATAATAATAATAATAATTAGCATCAGACCATGACTAGACCAACAGACATTTTATAGCAAAAGAAAACACCACCACTCTTCTCTCTCCCTCTCCCTCTCCCTTTTTCTCTCCCTCTTCCTCTCTCTCTCCCTCTTCTTCTCTGGCATACACAAACATAGAGACACACATAGATACTGCCTGACTAAACGGAAATCATTGAAAAAGTAAAGAAAATCCAACAGTAGTGACATGGAGCACAGGTTGATTGTAAATCCTGATCTTGTTTTTATCCTAACAAGAAAAAAACACAGCCAAGACCGGTTTGGCTCAATGGATAGAGCATCGGCTTGGGGACTGAAGGGACCCAGGTTCGATTCCGGTCAAGGGCATGTACCTTAGTTGCCGGCATATCCCCAGTAGGGGGTGTGCAAGAGGCAGCTGATCGATGACTCTCTCTCATCGATGTTTCTAGCTCTCTATCTCTC